TAGAAGATGTTTGTCTCTGCTGTTTTACCCTATGGATGTGTAGGTTGTGGTTCTCATGCCTCAAGTCTTCATTCTGGGCTTGAAACCCTTGCTGGCCACCAGCTCCCATAATCACCAGTACTGAAATTAGCCCTGCAAGGAACTGCAGTGCATGATTAACCCACAAGCAGAAAATAGAGGCTCTTATCATGATTGCCACAAAGTGCACTGATAGTGAAATACATTTTAATTTTTTCTGGAAGTGATCCAAAATGAAACATCCAGGACAGAAAACACAATGTTCTAGTTGCAGATGGGTTTTCTTACAATTAAATACTTCATTTTAATTTTCTAAATTGCTAGTAGAGTTTGTAAGACAGATCAAAATAATTTGCAGAAAGCTTCATTTTTCTGTTGCTAGTATTCTTCACTGAAAAATCATTTTGGCAGAAAATCCTCAGTCAATTCCATCATAGACTGGCTCTGCATGTGAAGATAAACTTGGTCTGGGAAAAGGCAGACCAAGGAAATCAATCTCATTAATGGATTCAAGTCCATGAACGAGAAGTGCCAAGAGGATGATCAGACTCTGCTCAGTGGGGAAACCAAGAAAACAAGAGGCAATAGCAAAAACTGATGCCCAGGAAGTTCCACCTGAAAGAACTTCTTTGCTGTGCAGTCACTGAGCACTGAACAGATTGCCCAGAGAGGTCGTGGATTCTCCTCACTGGAGATATTCCAGAACCCTCTGGACACAACCCTGAGCCATGTGCTCTGGGCTGGCCCTGCTGGAATAGGGAGGTTGGACCAGATGACCATTGTGGTCCCTTCCAACCTAATTGATTCTGAGATTCTATGATTCTGTGATGCACTGCAGGAATTGTGTTCATCTCCCTCCTTCCCACTCCAACTATAGATAAGGAATTCCTACTGCAAGGCCCTGCAACTCCTCCAGTCTCTGTTTTTAGGTTACCTAGAGAAGTTGTTGATATCCCATCCCTGGCAGTTGAATTACTCCTTTTGGCCTGAGTAGTCAGGCAAGTTTGAGAGCTTTTGGTGTCCTATTTCCATTAGGAGAAGATGTTGATGCTTTGGGCAACCTGGTCTAGAAGATGATTTTGCTGCTCATGACAGGATAGTTTGAACTAGATATTTTTAAGGTTGCTTCCAACCCAAACCTTCCTATGATTCATTCTATTCAGGTACAAACCTTTCAGTCCCACTGCACTCTGGTCTCTTCATTCATCATGTTTGCATGGGAGTTTTTCCTTTTCTGCGGGTACTTATCAGTACCTAGAGACAGTTTTGAAATCTTCAAGATAAAAATGCACAGCTGCAGTAGTGTATAATAATGGTTTGCAAGTCCATCATGTTGTTGCATTGCATAAGGGCTGAAGGCACATTATAAATCTATACAGTGGTCAGCATTTCCACTTTACTTTTCCTTTTATAGAGAGGTGGAAGATGCAAAAGAATTGGGTGCTTAACTGACTGAATCTTTGAAATGGATTTTATGCTGTGTCATTTCAAAGAGACTAAAGAAATCATAATCATAAATTGCCCTTTTACATTGTATTATTTTCTTTCCCCTTAGTTGAAGGAAGTCCTTGCTCTGCTGCTGTGGGTGTTTTACCATTTATCAGTACCCAAGATTTCAGGCTCTTGTACTTAGAAAAAGTGGATACCCACAAAACTGTTTTAGAAAAATGTTTGTTTGCTATGCGTGTCTAAATGAACACTTTAATCTTTGAGAAATTAGTAATTTTTTTCTATTGTGAAGGAATGTATCTATGCTTAATAGGAGTCTAGAGTACCTAATTTGTTTTCCAAGGGGATTAAAGACATTACAGAGCAGTTTGAAAGCATAGTGTAAATGTGAACCCTCTCTGGTTACTAGAGTTGAAATATTCTTATTTCTCATGTATGTTATCTCTCACTGGTTCCAGTTTTTAACTCATGCCTCAATTAGCAAAGGTTGCAGACCCTCTAGAGAGTGACTTAGATCTATGGAAAAGGTCTTACATTGAGAACACTTCAGAAAGCTTTATATTAGTTCAGAGGCAGCTGTGATTCATAGCACAATAAAGATAAACTGACCTTTTAAAGGCAAATATGTCTTCCTGATTACAGAACTAAATGAACAAAGGTCTAATGAAGATGTTATATAACCACCACTTTTCTAAGCCTTAACTGAGTCTGTAAGAGGTTATTTTGGACATATATTTTATATCTCTTTTGAAAGTTACACGCTGCACATACTTGTAGATTACAAATGCAGCTTTGTCTAGTTTGTCCTTTCACTGTTCTTAGAAATATTAAAGAAAATGTCACATTGCCAGAAATCTAAGTAATGTCTGGGAAAGTCAAGTAGTCTCGATTAACCTTGTAAGAGTAATGCAGAATTTTGTTACTGTCAAAGGAAACAAGAATAGAAATTATAACAGCAATATTGTTATCTTCCACCACCAGCATACTCAATCCTTTCACATTTGCAGAAGGAAATAGTGCTTCTTGTTACCTGTTTTGACCCAAAGATGACAGACTGCCAGTGAAAAAGCTTGATGATGTCTCACTAACACAACACACCCATGACAATGTACATAGTCCAAGTAGCATTGACACCTCAGACCCTGTGGACATGGGCACATTCCTATATGACTCTAATGGATGATAGTGACACAATGTCTAACAAGAAAGGCTTAATTACTCCTCATTCCTCCTACACCTTGAATCCTGTGCTCAGTTCTGGG